CTGTGCTGAACACTTTCCATGCATTATCTCATTTCATCCCTATAGTAGCCCTTTGAAAAAGATACTAGTATGATTCCTACTTTACAAATGAGCAAAAGGAGGCTCAGAAATGGCCTGCCCAAGGCCTCAGAGCAGCAAGTGGCCAATTAGAACTCATACCCAGGTCTATCCTCCAGCAAGAACCTCAGAGGCTCATGTTAGGGGGTGGAAGCAAGCCCTGCCCCCACCTCCCTTGGTTCATCTGCGCGACTGTCCTTCCATGACATCACCTTCCAGGGCAACAGCCTGGGTAGAAAGCAGGGGTTTCCAGAGATAAGCTACCCCACCACCCATGACCAGAATAAGCTTTACACAGAGCTGCTTGGGAGGAACGGGGGCTCTGCAGGAGTGGCCTAAAGGCCAGGCTGCCAGCCAGAGGAGGAGGGGGAGAAGCTTGGCAGGGACACCTTGGCCCCTTTGGTCCAGCCTCTAGCAAGAGCCCTCCCCCAGACCAGGGCGGAACAGAAAGTAGCTGAGCAACACAGTCAGTGTCGGCCAGGCCAGCCCGGAGGAAGCAGGTACACCAGGATGCTTCCTGCTGCCGCTGCAGTTGCAGAAGGCCTGGGCTTCCTCCTCCAACAGCTGGACCTGCTAGAGGTCCCCTTCCTTGGGGATACTCCCTGCCCCTCTGCAGGGCACTCTTCCATCTGCCTGGCCGTCATCGTGCATGGCCCCAAATCTGTGACCTGGTGCTAGGCTCTAGAGGCCCAGGGTGGGGCAGGGTGGGGTGGGATGGATTGTAATCTCTACCAGGAAGCACCCACTCTCACCCCGACACATAGGCACTGACGCCAGTTTTGTGGCTGGGGCGGGCAGTCCTTGGGCACATCTCAGGCTCCTGATACACCTCCGCACCAAGCCAGCCCATACTCTCTGCCAACTGCTGACACAACTGAAAACCTTACACTTGGTGGCCGGGAGGGGTGGCATGGGGGGAATGGAACAGACTGGGAGGCAGCTATGTCGCTCCTCATTTGCTTTTTAAAGGAACTTACTCCTCTGAAGTAATCTCTGCTAAAAAAGAGACCTACAGACAGTCAGGGCATCCCAAGATGCCATCTGTGCCCCTTCTGAGTGTCTGATTCACAGAAATGGAGGAGGCCACACTGAGTCCACTCTCAGGGACAGTGAGAGGGGGACCCCTGACAACTCCAGGACCACCCCTCTCAAGCCCCTCACTCTTGTTCACCAGGAGGAAGAGGGGGTGGAAGACTACACCGGTGACACAAAGCAGGGACAAGACTCCAAAGGCCTGGGAAATGCTGGGGTTCTGGGCTTTGGAAAAAAATAGCATTCCAAGGAATGAAGGCCTCAAGCATTCGTGGTTTGTGGGGAAGGCGTGTCCCAGTGTGTGGGGTGGCTGATGCAGTCCTTGGACACTGAGGTTTAGAAGATGGTGCCCCCTTCAAAACTCCCAAAATCATGAGTCAGGCCCAGGAGCCTCTGCCCCTTGCCTCTGAGAGGTGGAGGCTGTGGGGCTGGATAATTCCTTCCCACCAAGAGGCACAGAGAGGAGCCCCAAGGCAGCCTTACCCCTCCCTCCGCACCTCCTTCAGTCACATCTAGGGAAATAACAAGAAGGCCCCTCCTTTCCTAAATGAGGAAGCAGCATAAGGAGCCTGGGACTTTTCCGGGTGGGGGGTCAGAGGGACACTCACCCGCATGGCCTGGCCTGGAGCAGCCCAGAGCAAGGAGTCTCCTCTCCGATGCTGCTCCGTTAGCGGCTCAAAATAGCACTGGCAGCAGCCCCGCCCCTGTTCCCCTCCCTCTCCCCAGGCCCCTCCCATCTGGAGCTGCCCAACCCTGGCCAGAGCCAGTTGGAGAGAGTGAGTGGCCTGAAGGACTGTGGGAACCAGGTATGCCGGAAGGCAGAGGGTGATCCAGCCTGCGTGGAAGAGAAGGAGAAGGCTCCTAGAGTAAGAGGATGGGGTGGGGGGCAGGCAGTGTTGGAGGGTTAGGGGCAAGGGACAGGGAGGGTGAGACTTTCTGAGTGACACACACCCGGGCTCCTGACAGCTGAGCTGATATGGCCCCTAAAAATAGCAGAGGAATTTGAGACCTGCAGCCCCCCGGCCCCACGGGCCAGGATGAAGACAAGCATATGC